TCAAAAATAGTATAATTTTTCCGCTCTTTGCCTCAAATTGGGGGCTTAATAAAGCAGGACTTCCCCACTTCTCTCTATTTACAGATTTGAACACGCTATTTATGCTGCAAAATAAATGTCATGCAAAGCTTATTACGAACCATCTTAATAACTTTAAATGACAAAGGGAAGAATACCACTTCCTATTATTTAACCAAGATAATTAATTATGTTACTTGATCAAACAATTTGTGATAAACATATGCAATATTCCACAAATTAAAAACACATGTCTTGGGGCTTTAAATAAACATGAGAAACATCCCCTAGCATAAGTATACATGAATTCCAAAAGCCACCTAAAGCCTACGCTTGGGGGCTTCAAATTAAAAAAATAGGTCTCACCTTAACTTTCATTTTAAAATGAGACCATATTTTAGAAAGTGATTCGAATGATTTTATAAATTATTCTAACACTTCACCAAACCTAAGTTTGATAAACATTCGTTTTCAAACTACATTACTTATTTAATTGAAAGAACTTCACTTTTAATTAGAAAAATATGACAATGATGACAAGCAGAAAAACAAAAACAAAATAAGATACATGAAAGTTTGCTCACATTTTCATATCTTTGTTGAAATAAGTTGCAAATTACAACTTATCTTCATCAATTTTGGACAAAAAAGTCACACTCAATTACGAGCCAAACTTTTCTTTCCATTTAGGGTCCAGTTTTGAAAATAATTAATTATTGGATCCCTTTTCCAATTTTTGAATTCTAGTTTGAAACAACATACTTCTAATAAAAAGTAGTATTCAAAATTTCCTTTCTAAATTTTTGTTTTCTCAAATAAATAATATTTAGATTCTTTATAACTGTTTGGATAATACATGTATTTTTCCAAAAGGAATGAATTAAGATTTGACTTCTTCTTGAATCGAACTTATTCTCGCTTAGTTCTCCTACGAATATTGGCTAAGGGATGGTAAACAAACCACCTACTAGACCAAAATCAAAGATTGATAAGAACAAAGAAAATATTTGATGTTCTAAATCAACTTTGAGAATAAAATCACCACAATGATCTTTACAAACGTTTTAGACATTAGGTATGATATACTAAACCTTAAACACAATTGTTTTGGTTTATAAACAAGCAAAGAACTAACTTGCTTTCTTGAACATGGCTTTAACTAAAATGTGAAAGCCATGTCATTGTCCTAAATATCTCAAAACAAAATAGGACATATACATAGGTCCATCTCAGTAGCATATGAATGGCCTAAATGATAGCAAGTCATTAGAACCACCCCCAATTGGGGGACTCCAAGACTTGTGAAATAGAAAGAATGCGCATAACCCGACACACGGGGGCTCCAATATCAACCAAAAAACATAATGAGATATTCATGCCATTCGAGCTACTTTTGATAATCGCCTAAACTACAAATGGTCTACAAATTTTCAAATGTGTCACAATAATTTAATAATTATGTATGTTGTTCCTTTGAAAACTAAGTTTGCAACTAACTTGGCCATTAAACATGTTACATATTCAAGCCATTTTCAAGTTCAACCTTAAAAACTAATCTTAGTGCATAATTGTTGTTTCAATACTTTAATTTACTCTAGAGATTAGAGAGTATGACTAGTATAGAGCAAAAGAAACAAAATCATACTTGCTCATACGAAAGTTTAGTACTCAATCATTCATCATGAAAATTGTATCAAGACACATTATTAATATAAGACAAACAATTTCATGAGTTAGAATATAAACAAAGACTCCTAAATTCTAAATCAAGGAGTCTTCATTTCAAATTATTCTCCATTGTTGCACACATTGGAATTTCGCAAGGACAAATTCATGCTATTAATAAAAGTTCAAAATTTCATTTATAATTTTAATGCATAATTGTTGTTCTAAACACTTCAATTTACATTAAAATTAACAAGTATAGTCTATGCGAGCAAAACAAAAGTAAAGTTCAAGCGCAAATTCAAAATTAGAACAAAAAAAAACACATATATGCTTGACATGCTCATACAGGATCAATACTTTATCACTTCGCATGAAATTTGTTGCAATATATTGCTTAAACATGTCACAACGACAAACAAACAAATTCATGAAAACAAGTCGAATAAAAAACCCCCAAATTCAAAATTTGGGGTTTAACAGTTCGAAAATCGCCCAAATTTAGCCAAGAATGAATGAATTATGGAAAATATGACTAAGGGACGAGATCTACTTCCTTTAGCTTCGAAAAACAAGAAAATCCGAGTTCTTTAGAGATAGAAAGAAGCGAAAATCGTGAAGGAAGGAGAGAGAAAGCGAAATGAAAAATCGCGCTCAACGATTATCTTTTTGCTGACTTAAATGTCGCGCGCAACTGAATTAGTTGCGCGTGACAGACCAGCGCAACTCAGAACGATGCGCGTGTTTTGCTAGCGCGACCTACTGAGTTGCGCGCGGATACTTGTCACTAAAATGACCGGTATCCAGATTTTGATCCGTTTGATTATTTTTTCAACGGTTTTTGCTCGTTATTAGACGTAATGGCGCGCAAATTATCAAAAAAATTTAAATTGCTTTGCATTTTGTAGTTTGTTTTCTTCTTTGTTAGTTTTTTGCATCATCTTGCATGCACACCGTGCTTTGTGCCTTCCCCAAGCATACGTTTTGAACGTTTTTCGTAAGAGTGCCTTAAGACGTTTCGTGGTGGTGCTTTACGTAAAAGCACCCATAGACAGGTTTGTCTTTTTACTGTACTGATGTTACAAATGTCCGGATTTTCTTCTTTTTTCACGTCCAAAGCAAAAAGGAAGGCGTTTTCATGCAGCGTAAAAATGCAAATGGCGTATCGTACGGCGCAAAATTGTACGGCGTAGGTGTTGCGTAAAATTTCACTTCAGCCCAAGCTTTGCGAGATCTACCTCTCAGAGCTAAAAGGTAGAGAATTACTGTAGGTATTAGCTCACGAGCCGACAGGCGCGCCGAATCATCAAGAACATGCACTTCTTGAATGGAAGCAAATACGGTAGTTAGTGTGCTTACTAACTTACTGGACAGTTAGGGTGTTCGACCACCCCCAGTATAAAGAAGAGATGAGACGATGTCGCGCCTGTGTAGTCACGTGCCCCCAGTCATGAGACACGTGTACTCATCTTGTGGACAAAACTGCTGAGAGAGTTGCTGACTTTCTTCCCTCTCACTAGATTTGGATATATGCCTCCAATCCTGAGACATGTATTTCTATCTTGTGGTCATCCAGCTCGAATACCGGACCATTTCTGCTCGAATACAGAAAACCCCTTTTCATCTTTTTACTTTGTTAAAGTCAGGCTAAAGTTTTAATGACATATCGATAGACATTAGACCAACGATGACATGATTGAGAGGAAATATTCCCCTTTTATCCTTTTAAAACCAATCTCTTCTCATGACTTGACATCACCCAGAACACCTTTACTTGTAAAAGCGTTCTACAATTGCAAAGGATCAATCTAGATTCTTTAGCGCATTAAGACTAGAAAAAAACTTTTTCTAGCCTTAATAGCTACTTGTTTCGAACACTTAGCGAACCAAGGATTGTTTTGACATCCTTAAACATTACTGGAAGATTCTCTATCCTTGGAGAACTTCGCAGAATGAGTCTCGGATTTATTTCCTTGACTAATTTGATCATCGTCTATTCTAGACTCGATCAAAGTGGGGGCTAACTGTAGACATCTACTATTGGCCTCCTGTCCCGAAAAGAAGTGCAATGACGATAAATAAAACCATCTTCGTGTTGGATCAAAGTGAAGAATACTTATAGAGAACTGATTAAGCCACAAAACACAAAAGATAAGCCCAAATTAAAGATAAAAGCCAAAACAAAGGTCCAATTAACTAAACCCGATCATAGTTAGGCTTAAGCCCATGCTTAAAACCCAATAATGACGGATTTACGAGCATACTAGTGAACTTGTGCAACTTAGCCCCTCTTGTCCTAAACACTCACCCCTTTTGATATTTTGTTACTACGGTGGAGGTTCCCCAACAAGAAGGAGTCCATAAGTATTCTAGACGGAGATCTAGCAAAGAGAAGTGGTAAATTCCCGAGCACTTAGTTAAATCACATTTATTTTCTTGTTTAAAAGAACCTTAATTAATTAATTAGTGTTGTTTGATCACCTTTAAAATAATTAATTAATCAATTCCACATAGTATCTTGCATTAAATAAAGATTAGTTTTGCAACAATTAAAACAATTAATAGCCAATCACAACTTCTGAGCTATAAACATACAACAACATATTAAATTCATCACCATTCAGCTATTAACAACTTCTGAGCTATAAACAGCAAAATATGCAGCTTCTGCAACGCATGCAAAATTGAATCACATAATAACAAAAATTCATTGTACAAATTAAAAGTAGAGTATACATACCGTTAACCCACAATTACTAAAACAATTGCGATGATAAACAACACGACTATTTAACAATACCAATTCAACAAACTAAATGTCAAACTTACCAACAAGATAAGCCTCGAAATCGCGACAACTAGTTGCAATTCAACAATGCAGCGGCGACTTGTACCAGAATCTCGATTGATTGCTCCACCACCGCAGTTCAATTTTCCTCACCCCTAGTTCCAATTCGCTCCCCGGTCAATTTTCCCCAAATCAATTTTCTTGAATTTTAGTTTCTCGCTCATAGGGTTTCGTTAGTCTACCATTAGTGAGACCATTAGTCAAGATCCTGACGAAAGTTTACAAGTTCATCACTGTAATGTTCGATAATTACCAAAAAAACCCCTCATTAAATTGATTTAGGACAATTTTACCCCCCAGAAACGATATAAGTTTTCCAATGTGATAAATTTGTAGTTACACTATACCAATATACAACCTTTTTCCTTTTAATTTTGCATATACTTTGCTTTTTACTGTTTACCGGGCCCTACCCGGTTGGTAGACAGCATCGTTCGGTTGAATTTGCATTTGCAAATGCATATTGAAACTTCATTCATACTTCCTCATTGGCAATGCTCTTTAACGAAGCAACAAAAGAAAAAGGACAGTCCAACCACATACCGAGGAGACCGAGAATTCGCTTCCCTATTTCGACAAACCTCTGCTTCTGCTCTCGATTTCTCTCTCATAATTACACTTTCATGCATCCTTACTTCAATTCCTAAATTGCGAATCTAATTCGATTATCTAACTATATTCGCTCTTTCGATCTCTGATCTCCTCACTTCAATGCTAAATTAGGGATCAATTATCCCCCAAAATTAATTTTTTCTCAATTTTGAAGAAGAAAGCTGGAATTTTAGGGTTTTAGATTGATCTAAATCAAAGGAAATGTTGTCGAATCATATCCAAAACAGTATGGAAACTGCAAGATTGGTGTGGTCTCAGTTGCCAAATTCAGAGGAAGGAGAATTTGATGAAGTTGGAATTACTAAGAAGAATGATCTTAATGGTGTCGAAAGCCTTGATTATGAAGTTATAGAAAATTATGCTTATCGAGAAGAACAGGTTCAATTCTCACTTTATCTGGATCTCATTATCTAATTAATTTGATTGCATTTTTTTAATTTCTTTTTATGATTTTGTAGGAAACGAGGGGGAAACTGTTTGCAAGTTATCAAGTGTCTTTGAAGTGGTTCCTCGCGCTATTGATCGGCGTTGGTGAGTTTTTTATTTTCATTACAATGTTTATTTCGCATTCGCAGCATTGATGTCATGGCTTGCTCAATTTGTTGAAATTCAATCATTTAATTCGAATCTTTCGATGCTTGTTTATGTTTCCAGATCAGGTTAGTTTGAGCTTTAGCTTCTACTTGCATGTTGCTTAGGTTGGTTTACTGACTCGTTGAGATGCTCTTGAACAAGCCGTAAGATGGTTTATGCATAGTCAATAGATTGTATACTCGTACTTGTTTTGTTATTGCCAACCAAAGTTGCCTGATTTACACACAACTTCGTCGGTTCGTCCTTCCCCTCCATAAATCACATTTAGATGTGTGCATGTTCAATAATTATTTATTGGCTTACTTATGGTTTGTAAAATGAGATTCACTAATATTTGTCAACCTTAAGTTATGTGATTGTAGACTCGCAGAATGTATAGACTCCATGACCTTCTAATCACTTCTACTGTGATACTGTGAGCATGGAATTTGGAACTATTGATTGCAGTGGAGAACCTTCAGCAACTCTAGGCAACCAACAATATTACAAGCACTTAAAATCCTATATCATGGCTTTTAGAATCATGACTTAGCAGTTAGCACAATACTTTGAAATTAAAACATTCATGTTTTTGTTGCTCACTTACAATTTCAGATGATGTTAGTTAATCTTAGCTCTGAAAGAGGGTTACATTAATGTTTACATTTCAATTATTTCCTAGGTCAAAGTAATTACTTTTTAAAATTTTTGTACATGTTTTTCCTCATACGTACTTTTCATGTAACTATCCCTCTTTATTAAAATATTTGCAAACTCCCAATGCAACCATTCCTATTTACAAAAATATTTAACTACTCTAGCTATTCCAAATGTAAATATTCCTATTTTCAAAGTTAATTTAATGCCTTAATGTTTGATATATTTGATATCTAATCATTGCTTTTCACTATCTTATTTTTCTTATTAATCGTGTAAAACCACAAAATGTGACCTTCTTTTAGGGAGGGAGTACTTGTTTATAGCTTAAGTTGGTTCTTTGACTTGCTTCAACCGGTTATATAGGACTTCCCTCGTTTCCTGAAACTCTTTGCACTATTCATGTGTCAAAATTTACCAATTTATTTATTTATTTACTTATATACAAAAACAAACAACAAATGTTAATACAAAAATGTTGTTGGACTATTCTCAATGCACACTCTCATTTATTTTTTTTATTTTTTTTTGTGTGTTTTTGAATGAATAGTAATTAAAGATATTAATGGGTTAATATATTGATTTATTTATTAATTTTGAATGAATAATTATTGAAAATATTACAGAGGGAGGGAAGGAAGGAGGGAGGGAGAGGGAGAGAGGGAGGGATTAATGAAGATGTTAAAGAAGTTTGGGATTACTGAAGATGTTAAAGAAGTTTGTGTGGAATGGTTGTTTTGATGAGGCTTCACTTAAGCAAGATCATTTTGAAATTCAATTAGTGCGCATTAAGATTTTGTTGTATGAATACATGGATTTTAGACTTTTCGAATCATCGTAAACGAGCAGGTCAGAAGGCTACAATACAAATGAGAAAACTATATACTTAAATCACTTATATGTGATTTAAAGGAAACCGATTCAATACTATAGATGGAACTACACAATCTACTGTTTGTAACGAATTTATTTTATTACATTATGCACACTTTGAAAAATAATAAATTATTTTAGCTTTTGTATAAGTATTAATTATCCTAAAATAATCAGAGTCTTAAAAATAACAAGATTAATTACAAAACACTTTAAAGAAGACAAACCCGTGACGTGAGGTCTTTTAAATGCTTCATGCCTAGACAAACCTATTTACATCCTTGGGTGCAAGGACCGAACGTTGGAAATAACAAGAATACATCAAATTCTCTATTGTATTTAACTTATTATACTATGGGTAGACATTACTTTGAATCTTGTAAGCATGTGCAAACTAGGATTTGTTATCTAACATATTTAACATGATCCAAATAACCATTGTGAAATCATTTTAGATCAACCAAGTTGCCACTAAAGAAAGATCATTAAGTTAAAAATGTATTGCAAATTGTCAATAAGGTCATTAGGGCGAAAAAAGCAATATGAACAAGATGTGAACCATGAGATTAAGTTTGGGTGAATCAAATAGGGAGTTACAAGTGGATATTCTATAAAAAGAGCAAAATTTTGTCGTTAGTGTGTGTGCATTTTTAGAACTGGATTATAAAATTGAGTTTTGTATGCTTATTGTTTTAGTTGGAGTATTGGTAATATGTACTTCTATTCTTTTTTTAGGCGCAACGCTTGTGGTTTTGCACTATTCACACACACTGACTCAGTGATTTATACAATATAATCACGTGGGGTCTTGTTAAATTTGTTTCGATAATATATGGGCTTGAATGTTGGTTTTTCGAAAAGACCATTCGACCATGTTTCCTTCTTTTGACACTCATGAGCCTTAACACTTTTCGTGGACCAAACTTGAGTAATCAGATTCTGGTTCTTTATGGGCTTGATTGTTAGTTTTCTGAAAGGACTATTCGATTGTTAGAAAGATGGGAGTAGCAAAGACGTGTATGAGATGGATGTGTGTACACCTTAAGGGATATAATTAGCAATGAAGATATTTGGTGGAAGGTTGTAGTTGTCGATAGGTAAAATAAGGGAGAACCAATTATGTTGGTTTATGTGAAATGAATACTAAAAGAAACACCATTGAAGAAAGTCAAAAGGTGGGATCATGAGAGTCTTAGAAATGGTCGAGGGAGACCTAAGATGATTTGGAGGAAAGGAGTTAAAGTTGATATGAAGAAATTGGGTTTAAAGGAGCGGACTTGAGAGAAGGGATTGGAGGGAGAGGATCATGGTTGACCACTACTGGAGATGAAATCTTGGTTGTGTTGGTTTATATAGCTGACCAATCTTTGGGATTAAGGTTTTGACATTGTTGTTTTTTTTGTTATAAGATTTTTTTTTTTTTTTTTTTTTTTTCCCCTTGAGTAAATGATAATCAAGTTATTTGTTGATGGATCATATGCTGTGCCCTTGCGGTTACTACTATAGTAGTATTTTATGTAGATGTTGCTAAATCATTAATAGGAAGATAGATGAGAAGTACTCATTAGATAATGAGAAGATGAGGACAAGTCATTAAGGATAACAATGGATTGTAATTGAAAGATAACCATTTGATACTCCTTCTGGTCCTAAACTGCCCTAAACCTCATTGTTACTTTTTTAAAAAGCAAGTGTGAATTTGTGCACATAGGTGGGCACAAATATTTATGTTAAGAGATAGAGAGGGTAAGTGGGGTTGCAAGTGGAAATTTTATCAATTAAGGTATGTACCAGTCTTTTAGGGACATCCATTTTTAATATCAGGGGGAGTATTTTTGGGACGAAGTGAGTAAGTTTAGGAGAGATGTGGAAAATCCCGTCAACTCGTATAATTTAATGTCTTGTCAGTTATTTTTGCGTTTTTACAAAGATTTCTTTTATGTAGAGGAATGACATGTGGACATAGAGGATTCTTGTTACAATAATTAGTGTAAATATGCTGGCTGGAATGCTGGATGCTCCTGCAAACTCTAATAAATTGATCAATAAACTGAAACTTTACATATAACGAACCCAAAATGTTTGGCAGTCAGTATTTAGCATATTGCATACCCTAATTAAACACAAATCAAATCTATTGGGAGACTAATTTTCCCTACCAATTCCTCGTAATGTCGGATACAGTCATACAAGCCAGATAAAACTGCTCCTCAGCCCTTCTATGCAAAAATCTGATTTAGATACATTGTTATTTCTTATCTTTGTTTTGACCTAGTAATCCAATATCTTATTTGTGTTTATTTTGTTTTTACATGAATTACATAATAGTGGATATTTGTTGCATATTTGAACTTCAATTTTGATGGAATATATCTCTATTGAGTTTTTGTTGATATTAACGCCTGTTTGTAATTGTCAGGCACCGGACTTGCTGCTATTTTTATAAATATCTCCATTGAAAACTTTGCTGGGTGGAAATTCGCATTGACATTTGCCATAATTCAGAAATCATATCTTGCTGGACTACTAATTTATGTGCTTTTCAATTTAGCGCTAGTTTATTCCTCTGTATATATAGTTACCCATTTTGCGCCAGCTGCAGCTGGATCTGGTATTCCAGAAATAAAAGGCTATTTGAATGGTAAGCAGTTCATATCTACCGTTTTCTACAAAATCCTACCGGCATCTCATCACGTTTTAATTAACACACAATTTTGAATGCTTTTTTTACAGGAATTGATGTCCATGGCATACTTTTATTTAGAACGCTATTTGGAAAGGTATGAAGTATCTCTTTACCATTTTCCAGTCTTTTATTCTGTTGACCAGATTTTAGATCTTCTTACCATAATCATATCATTTCTCTTCTTGTTGATTCAATTTTTTTGAAGATCTTTGGAAGCATTGGTTCAGTGGGAGGTGGATTAGCCCTCGGCAAAGAAGGTCCTCTTGTTCATATTGGTGCTTGTATAGCTTCTCTCCTAGGACAAGTATGTGTTAATACATCTATAATTGTGCCCCCTCCCCCCCCCCCTCTCTTTGTAGTACTTAGGTTTTAGGTTCTTGCCATACTTCATGCTTTGTATAATTGCATTCACCTCTGTTTGCTTGTAAGTGGGCCTGATAATCATTCTGTGGCTGGATTGGTAAGAATTTTTCATAGAACTGATGGAAGTGACTATTTTGCTGTAATTGTGAATTTTTTTTCCTCCTACAGTGCAAGGCACTTTAACTTGTAGCATCTCTCTAAATTAGGTGCAAATGAGGGGATCATATTAAATAAAATTTCCAGAATAGTGGAAACAATATTGGCAGTGGCACTGTCCAATCATATATAAGTAGTTAAAGGTCATGCAAAGAAGAGGTGTGCTCTTACCCCAAAAAAAAAAAAAACACCCATATTAGCCCCAATTGTGGGTTAAAACCAATACATTGATGAAAGGCCTTAGCTAGTATAATGGGATTATGGGAAGGGGAATGTTTAGGGGTTTAGGCTTAAGGGCTGCAGAATTGAAATTCAGAATAGTAAACTGAGTGATAAATCATCTGTCTCACGTGTCTGACACAGATATAGAGAAGAATAGTGCAAGGAGATAGGGGGAGCTTAAATATTTATACAAAATATATGGGGAAGAGGTGTTATGTGGGGGGGGGGGGGGTGTGGTCACTGATATATAGGGTCGCGATTGACTATAGGAGAAGCTTAGCTGCATGCGTGGACATCTTTATTCTCAGGCAAGTGTACAAGGGACTTGGGGCTTTAGGGCATTGATTTATTTAGTACAATTAAATGAAAGACAATAGTGGAAGGTGCGCATATGCATTGCAGTTACGGGTTAGGGTGGGGTGGCCCTCCTTAGGGTATACTGGAGATTGAAGGTGACTCATCTCATGTGTCATTGTTGGCTGCATTAGTGTATTGGGTTTTCTTGTTTTGGTATTTCGGTTCATTCCAACGTTTCTAGGGTTGGGCTAGCATTATTGAAATATTAGGATTGAATTTGAGTCATCTCTATTAACTTCGTCCTTTGTAATCATTCTATGAAAGTCGCGCCTGGGCATGAGGTGATCGAGGTCAAGTGCCTTTATTAGCTTGGGAAAGGCACACCGAAAATTAATTTTATTGTTATCAAGAGTGCCTCCCTTAATGACCCTTGCTTGCTTGTGGTTTAAAATAACCTAAATTATGACTAGATCTTTGGCTATTTTTAAAAATATGTTGGTGTCTTTTGTCATTGTTTTTCTATAAATTTTCACGAAATTGTTGAGACTATTGCATTGAGTTTTTGTTGATGGCAAAGAAAGGGTGAAAATTTATGGCTACCTCTGTTTATAACTAGGGTTTTGGACTTGTGAGATAAGGGAATTTATTTTCTTTGAGATTGAGATAATGTAGTGTACCCAATTGTTGGACTAAATTGTTCTTGCCAAATTTGGCTATATAAGCTATTATGTTGATGTTGCATTAGTTCAATCACTATTGTAGAGGTCATAATTATGTTGTGCTCAGATTTTACTTTTGAAGCCTAATATTTAACTCAAACTTTTGATGCATGATTTCAGGGTGGATCTACAAAATACCATTTAAGTTCAAGATGGCTTCAAGGTTTTAATAGCGATAGAGATCGTCGTGATCTTGTAAGTATATTGACATATAAATAACCTTTATTTCATGAACTGCGCCTTGTTTGTCTGGTCTCTACTTTTCTTTGAACCATCCAAGTAAAGTGAGCATGGTATTTTTACCATTAATTGCTTCATTCTTCTTTGTTCATGGTTATTTATAACTCTACTTGAGTGTAAATAATTCCTTAATACTTTTTCCAAATAATATTTTAGTTGCATAACTTTGTGGTCATGTGGTATACTGGTATCAAGGTTGACAATTATGGTTAGTTGTGATAAAGAGTTGGGAGATCAGATAGATACTGAGGGAGGGAGACATGGGAGGACATTAATTGGTGTTAACGAATGGGATCCTTAGTAATGATTGTTTGTAGTGGACTAGTGGTAGTTGGTTCATAATTAAACTAGTGACTATAAAACCATAGCTATATGCCATGATATAGAGAAGAAAGAAGTGGGTTACTAAACAACCAGGAGGTGGGCTTGGAAGCACCCATTAGGCATGGCTAAAAGAAAAATGACCTTAGACTTGAGAGTTGCTAAATATATGAATTAAGTTGTTTCCTGATATTTATAGGATTGGGACTAATTGATGGAAGCCTCCAAGGTGCTCTTCAAAATATATATGCCCACTAATTGAGATCTGTCTCTCTCTCTCTCTCTTATCCTAATTGACAGTGGAATTGTCTTTGCTGTTCCTGCTTCTCTAATATACTCCCTCCATTCCTTCTAGTTGTTCCTATATGGAATCATTATGTGAGACAAAAAAAGTTAAAAAGTAGAATCAACAAAAAGATCAAAGAGAGTAGTATTTAAGTTTTTATTATTTGAATTATGTGTATATTAATCATCCTTACTAATGAGTTTACTTTGTGTCATATTTTGAAAAGGTGACCTGTGGCTGTGCAGCTGGAGTTGCGGCTGCATTTAGAGCTCCTGTTGGAGGTGTATTGTTTGCACTTGAGGAGGTTACATCATGGTATAATAATCTTCTTATCTCCTGATTGCAGTCATATCCATGGTTATGTAATATTTTAGATGGTTTGCATCTCCTTTCCTGATCTCCATCTACTTATGTAGTACGTATTATTTTATTCTTGTTTTTCTCTTAAAGGTGGAGAAGTCAGCTTATGTGGCGTGTCTTTTTTACTTCTGCTGTTGTTGCGGTTGTTGTACGTACTGCAATGTCATGGTGTAAGAGTGGGAAATGTGGACACTTTGGTGCTGGTGGCTTCATAATATGGGATATTTCAGAGTTAGAACTTCAATTTCCCTCAGTTATTATTTTATCAATTCTTACTTTTGTCTGCTGGTTTCTAACCAAGCCTTTTTGTTTTTACAGTGGTCAAGAGGATTACTCATTTGCAGAACTATTGCCAATGGCAGTTATTGGGGTGATCGGTGGTCTTCTTGGTGAGTATGTGCTATTTTAACTATCCTATTTGTTCCATATTCTGTATGGGACAGGATTCCCTTTTTTTTTCATCACATGACAGCTGTTGAAATTTCGTAGGGGCGTTGTTCAACCAACTTACACGCTATATAACTTATTGGCGTCGCAATTATTTGCACAAGAAAGGGACACGCGTTAAAGTAGGTTATTGTTGATCTTTACAGTGTATTATATATTCTGTTCTGGTGATCTCCCCCCCCCCCCCCTCTATTTTTGGGTTGTAAATTACGTTGTTTTCTTGATTTCTCATTTTCATGCTCTTTTCATCAACAGATGATTGAAGTCTGCCTTATTTCAGTAATTACTTCTGCAATTTCTTTTGGGTTACCACTTCTAAGAAAATGCAGCCCCTGTCCTGCTTCAGAAGTTGGATGTCCTAATCCCCCAGGAATGTATGGGAATTATGTAAATGTAAGTACTCTTTCATCTTGTTCATTCATTGTACAGTCTTAATTCTGAAGCTTGATCCTGCTTTTTAAGCAAGTTCTTGGCATTATTATATTAAATCTATCAGGTTTACTGAATTTTACTGCAACTAAAATTTTAGAAGATTTCTATGTTGATAATTGTGTTTCTATGAGCTCAGAGTGAAATAATTAATGGTTGCTTGTCATACATATATTACCTATCATGGAGATATGATGGCTGCTTCTAGTTATTCATCTCTCTAGGTGTATTGGTGATCTAAGCATTTCTTGCTACCATGCAATTACTGCATGTGTAGCGCTTTTCTTTCTCGTTTCTTTTCTTTTCTTTTCTTTTCTTTTCTTTTCTTTTTTTAGCAAACTACCAAAGTGTTTTCTATGGTGTGTACCTGTTTTTGTATAAATAAGTGAGGGTACAACTTACAATGTCATTTTTTTTTGGAACAAGATAGCACCATAGAAAAGCCCAACCAAAAAAGTGCCTGCTTTTCCTTACTTGCTGGTATGCTGTGAATTTTGCACAAGTAAAAGTGAATTGATTGTAGACATTAGTGAGTTTTATGGGAACTATCTTTCCCATTTTCTTTTTTTGGAAGTTGTACGATCAGAAGAGGGAGAAAAGGACCTACTATCGATTCATGAGGAAAAGGATTTCCTCCATTTCATTTTGTATTCGTTATTCTACAGTTCTACTATATATGTATATCAAGAAAATATTGAAAAAGGTGAATGTGTGGAGAGGGGTTTAAAGTAACTTTCATTCTCCCTGAGGGTTGAGCAAGAACTGGGTACCTGATCAAATTCTCAGTATTTGCTATCAAATCTGCTCATGAAAACTGGAACCATAATCGAAATCCTTTGACATCTCTAGTTATTGGCATTCTATATTTAACCTAGTAAAATAACATCAGTTTTTAGTATTTACATCCCAAATTCAACGTTGTAAGTTAGATATAATTTTAATTTCGGGTTTTAGCAATTGGTTCTGTTTTGGGATTCAAACATATCTTCATACATTGGATAGCCAATTTCATGACTAAATAGAGTTCCTGATTTGGGTGCCCAAAATCGGGTTTGTAATTAATTGCCTATACCGTTGGTTATGGTTTTAAGAAGTTAGGGCTAAAACGGATCCAGATAGTTTTTGTAAAATCTACATTCTGTTAAGTTATGGAGATTTTTATGAAATTCTTGTTAGGTGCTTGATACGTCAATATTAAAGTGATGTAGATGTGTTTGATAAGGCTATACTCGTGACTACAATGCCCATATAGCTCAAATATTTTGAACGTATATGTTTATTGTCATCGGTGATATAAGAACTGCATGTTTATAATAAATGAACTAAACAATCATAATTTATGAACTGACGGTTCATATTGTTTGAACTTTAGAAATTAAATGTTCATAATCTTTGAACTAAATGTTCGTAATTTACTAATCGAATGTTGATAATTTTACTATGTGTTCATTTGGGACCATGATGAGCATCATGGTCTTGGGTGTAAATTTTACAATGTATTGGGTTATTGATGTGTATCTCTTATGATATTGTGTGCTAGCTGTTTATTGAACTTATGGCTAAAATATGTTGGAGTGCTAAATTTCATTTTGTAATTTTTTTTTTGGTTTTCGGTTGTCAAGTGTTTGTAAAGGAGTTTTGTGGTGAAATTGGGTGGTTGTGGTGGTATTTGTCATATGTTGAATCAGTGAATTGTAAGGAGTAATTAATTTGTCTAGTTTGAATCATTTAAATCACATTAGAGAGCTTAGTGATGATAAACCTCTTTAAAACACAACTCCCTGTTACCAAAGAACCAATGTATAAAAAAGCTCAAGGCGCACTGAGGCAAGAGGGGTTCTGCTGTGCCTAGGTGCGCCTCTTTGAAGTGAGGTGCAGTATATGTGCAGTTAAAAATTTTTGGCTGAAGTTTGCCTCATGTGCACCTCAAGTGCGCCTCAGGTGCGTCTCGTGCGCCTAACCCAAAGCGCGTCGGCCAGACCTAATTAAGGTGCGCTTTTTCAAACACTGCAAAGAACATACTCCATCTTCTCTTATTTTATTGGTTTCAAAGACCAAGGTGAGCTAGAGATAGAGTGTTGCAAATGGGTTTTGTGTAAGACATAGTAGGAGAGAGTGTTGCATGTGGGTTCTTTTAAGAAAGGGTTGGAAAGAGAGCGTTCCATCTTCCATATGAGATTTTGGGTTTAGGAAGTAATAAGGTTTGAACAAAAGTTTTTCAAAATAGAATTAAAGTAAGATTATGAATAGCAAAAAGAAATGGATGAAAACAGGAAGCATAACCAACTAAAGGAACAAATTGGGTATCTCTCCTCTCCATCCATGTTGGTGAAGAAGGTGAAAGAAATAACCATTTTAATATAAATATGACCCTTGAGCTGATTAAGCTATGTGTTAAAGCCTTGATAGGGAATTTGAAGAGTGTTGCATACTCATCCTACATGCCTAATGTAGCGGACCCCATGAAATTATGGTTGCAATGGAGATATGTTACAATTATAACAGTCGGTGCAGTAAGCATTCAAACTTGGGGGTTATACGATTGTTATTTGTATTTATTTATTTTTGATTTGAGTATAAGATTAAATATTAGTGCCCACACGATGTTAGTGTTGAGACTTAGGTACCCCCCGAAGTGAAAGAGTCTGAGTAACATGAGAGGATACCATCTTCAATTGATCATAGGATGTCTAAGGGTAAGGGAGCTATCATTAGGATGATTGTGCTAGTGGTGATGCATTGTGCGAGGCTAGCAGGACCTGTAAGAGATACTAGGGCTTATGTCCTGATGCAGATTGTCTCTGCATGGTATTTTTGTTCAATCATATTATTCTAAAGCCTTTGATTATATCTCATAGTTTTATATTTTTTTTTTCGTTTACAGTTTTACTGTCGCAGTGACAAGGAATACAATGATCTAGCTACCATTTTCTTCAACACACAGGTGATTTAGATAATGTGGAAGCCTTGTTATTACTTTCACCTGTTGCTTTTCTGCTCATCTAGTTTTTCCAACAGATTTTGGTTTTGCATGCAGGATGATGCTATTAGGAATTTATTTAGCGCCAAAACGATTCATGAATACAGTGCTCAGAGCTTGTTAACCTTTTTGGTATGTCTTTCTTTTTTTTTTCCTTGTTTATGTTTCCATCACCCTTGGTTTGAAGCTGTGAGCATAAGTTTTATTTTTGAGTAAGGGATTCTAATCCTCTAAGGCTCCGTTCTCCTCTACTTATTTAATCAAGTGTCAGCAGTCGTTTTTTTTTCCAGCAAATGTAAGCTAAGCAAATATTAAGCTTAGCGCTAAGTTATGCAAAAATAGGCTGGTGAAATGGAGCCTAAGCCTCGAAAAAGCAGACTTGTGTGTGGGGCATTGTTAATTTATTTTTCTGTACAATGCTTTCCCAAGTTGTTTGGTACTTTAAAACCTATTGCTTAACACGAACACTAATTTCACTCCTTCCTCTCTCTTCATAACATGAATTATATGAAAAAATTTGTAACAAAAAGCGGCATTGATCAATTATTTAAATGATAGTTTATCACCAATGCACACCCTTTGGCTCGCTCTTTATTGTTTTTTTTTTTTTTCCCCTTCATTGTTGAAGTTATTTTAGTTCCATTAAATACTAGGTGCTTGAGGTAGGTGACAAATATGGTCAGGAAACCTTTGTCCATTTGTGAATACAATGTTCTTCTTTGCTTCCTTGGTTTTTCATTGGCTGGCTATTATAACCTACACAAATAGTGTTGTTGAACTTGCATGATATTGGATGGGCATAATAATTATAATATTTATAATATGTGTGCTGTTGCAGTATCTGATAAACTTTACACTAATATTTGTTTGTTTCAAGGAGGTTCATGCATAGATAATTATTATTTTTGAAGTGTGCATTTTATTTTTGCTGTTTTACAAGATTTAGATTTTCAATCTTTATTTTTTGAAAGTAGTCTCTGCTTTGCTGCCCTCAACCACTCGAGTCTTGACATCCCACCCCCATCCTCGCTCTATGTTTAAAAATGTAGTAATATATATTTCCCAAGGGTGTGGTCAAAATGTGGTAGGGGTGTGTTTTATGCACCTGATTTTTACTTATTTGAACTTATCTAATACAAGTATAAAATTATAAACTTGTTAGACCTTATTATAACTTATTTTAGCTGTTATTCAAACTTATCCACCCCTTATTAACCCTTTATCTGAACTTATTTTTTCTTGAAATAAGTGAAAATAAGGTGAACAAAACATGCCCTAGAATTATGAATTGGGAGCCATTAACTCTTATGCCATATCCATACCTTCCTACTGGTTCCATAAAAATGATTTATAATGCTCAATTGCAATTAAAATATGTTCTTGTTGCAGGGTCTGCAGGGCTAGCACAATTTCAAATTTGTTATATGTTGTACAAATGAGATAAAAGGCAAATTAAGTTTTATTTTACTAGTAAAGATGGAAGTTAGTGTGCCTTATATCAACTTGTGCATAGTTGGCTGCTTATTGACTCTAAGTATCTTTCCCGTGCTTTGTAGGTTATGTTTTACACTTTGGCAGTGGTCACATTTGGAACAGCTGTTCCCGCTGGTCAGTTTGTTCCCGGAATAATGATAGGGTCGACTTATGGCCGTCTTGTTGGCATGTTTGTCGTCAACTTCTATAAAAAGCCAAACATAGAAGAGGGAACGTGAGTATTCATTCTGTCTTTTTTCTTCTTCGCTATATCCTGTATAAGCAACAGACAAATCGAAGTATAATTAGATTTGCTTTTAAGTGTGGAGTACCTAAAGGTCATGGCATATCTGATAAAAGGCCAATTGGTATCACCAACATTGGTTTTGGAGGAGTAAAGCTGTTTTTTTTTTTTTTTTTTTTTTTTTTTTTTTATCCCTAGGGCGAAAGCTTTTTTGAGGCCTTGGGATGGCGTTAGTGTGTTGATGTCGATTTTGTTGGATGTAACCTATCTTTTAGAGCCATCTCTTTTCATTTTCTTATTTTTACTTACTGTCTGTAAAAGTAGTAGTTTAAGAGCCATCCTTTGAACAATTACTTGATACGAACTATGGGTACACTTATGAATTAGATTCTGGTTGTGGATTTCAAGAAAGGGAAATATCTCTCTTGATTTTCTTTTGGAATTGCTTGGTTAAATTTATTTATTTATTTATTTTTTTTAATTTTCTTTCACCACTGTGCTATGGAATTCTTAAGCTTAATTAATTAGTGACCTGAGTCTCTTACCACATGGTAGTAGCACTCTGTAAATCTTACGTTCCTATTTTTCTTTAGGCAGGCTTATGTGATAACTGGGTGGATCTACTTTTGTTTACAGTTCTCAATGTTTTGGTAAGGGTGTTCATATACTTGTTGAGATCATCCATGCCAATGAACGGATGAACCTAGTACTTAATGTGATTAGTTATGTGCTTTGCAGAAATTTAGGCTGTGATCGGCTCCCTTCTTGCTGCATTTTTAACTCAATATGACTTTTATCGTTACAGATATGCTCTTCTAGGTGCTGCTTCTTTTTTAGGAGGCTCGATGCGGGTGACAGTGTCCCTTTGTGTCATCATGGTTGAAATCTCGAATAATTTGAAGTTTCTACCCCTTATCATGCTAGTTCTTCTTATATCAAAGGTATGCTCTGGGTAATTGATATATATTTTTTTTAATTATTTTGCGCATAGCTCATTTGTATGGATGGGTGTCGATGTGTCATCTTCCGTTTGAATTATTGATTTTCGGAAATGATGTGCAGGCTGTTGGTGATGCCTTCAACGATGGCTTGTATGAAGAGCAAGCTCGGTTGAAGGGTATCCCTTTGCTTGATTCGAGACCGAAATACCAGATGCGGCGGATGACTGCAAAAGATGGTTGTCGAACTCGAAAGGTCAGTTCTATAAGAAGATTCTGCCTTGTTTTTCAACTGAGAATATGTGCCATGCATATGTTTTTGGGAGTGTTGGGCTAACCTTTTGCTTTAACATTATTCTTGAAGGTTGTTAGTCTTCCTCGTGTTATCAAGGTTTCAGATGCGGTTTCTATTCTGAGATGCAACAAGCACAATGGCTTCCCTGTAAGTTGTTGAATTAGTCAATGGCTTCAGCATTTCCATGAAAATTAGCCTACTTATTCTTGTGTATGACTTGCCAATTAGGTGATAGATCACACAAGGAGTGGAGAGACGCTCATTATAGGACTGATGCTTCGGAGGTTTTCCTTGAGCACTTTTGTCCTTTATTCTATATTTTTGATTCTGTTGCGCATCTGACTTTTTGGAACTGATGTGACGTGATGTGATGTGCCCACCGCAGTCACTTTTTGGTGCTTCTTCAGTCCAAGGTGGATTTCCAACATAGCTCTTTGCCTAGTGATTCAAGAGGTGGATCCTTCCCGATAAGGTATGTAATCTGCTAAACCTTGATTTTATAGTATTGTGCAACTGGTATACTGATGGAAGCTTCCTCTTTGCAGGCATAGTAATAGTGAATTCATCAAACCAGTTTCAAGTACAGGGCTTAGCCTTGATGATATTCATCTGAGCCAGGATGATTTAGATATGTACATAGATCTCGCCCCCTTTTTGAACCCATCACCGTATATAGTCCCTGAAGATATGTCGTTGACAAAGGTAGACCACTCAAGACTTCTTAGAATTTTATTGTTTTCATGTTTCTAGTTAAATGAATTTTCACAATCTTGCATCATCTGGTTTGTTCAGGTGTATAATCTATTCCGTCAACTAGGATTAAGGCATTTATTGGTTGTCCCTAGGCCTTCACGTGTTTTAGGTCTAATATCACGAAAGGATTTGATAGTTGAGGTATGTTATTGACATATCTTTTGTCTCTTCATTATGCTGATTTACTTGAATCATGCTTAAGAAAGCTATGGTTTTAATTGCAGAGTGATGATGAGTTGGACACAGAACTCCAATCGACTAGTGTAAGGTCTCTTACTGTTGATAAGTCTTTCATGTTTATCACGGAGTAGCTCACAAATTGTGTGAAATGTGGAATAGAATACTTGTGTTTAATAAATGTTTGATAATTGATTGACCTTATTGGAAGAATTTTGTTTGAGCCACTGAGTTCACTGCTCCTCATAATTCAGTAATTCACTATCCTCCTTAAGAACGAAACTCCCTGGACTTTAGGGCTGTAATGTGCTTCTGAACTCCTTTTGACACCTGTCCTGACTTTCGCTTGTCATCTCTTCTGATGCCAAAATCTACTTGGACAATGCAGAAATTTTGATTTCTGCACAAATGTCTACATTCTCCTCATCAAGTTTCTTTCATGACACCGCATGGGAGATAGCTAGTCGGTGAGCAATGAAGTTAATATTGTCTAGTGATAAATTGAAAGAATATATCTTAGGTGGCCTAACGTGATTAAAATCAGATTCATTTTTGTATATCAGCGCAGAAAAGTTGGCCAGAAATTGAGGCTAATTGGAGTAGAGTTGAAACTTCCAAAGAAAAAAAATAGGATAGCATTACTTTCTACTGTTATAGGACTGTAAAATTTTAGGTTTGAATGGTCGCAATCTTTCTCATTTTTTGGCTCTTTTAACTTAGTACTTGTTTGTGAATTTGACAGAGCTCAATATCGTAACGGAGGCTCAGTATCAAGAAGTGTAGATGTGGAGCAACCACTTATAAATGGTGTTTTGGTGCAAAATAAATAATAGTTCTAATTCTATAATCGTGTAGGTTTTGGTATCTCCTAGCTGGAGTTCATTATCTGCATTCTTGAAACATTTTTGTTAATTCTAATTTTTTATTTTTTTTTTCCTGTACACTGGAAAATTCCAGCAAAATCACACATATTTGTGTTGCAAAGTGTAAAATTGTAAAACAGAATGACAGCTTATAGAATGAAATCATTTCGAAAGGTTAGTTTAATTTTGAGATGGAGGGACTGAGGGAGTAACTTTTCCTCCATTTTTTGAGTGCTACATTTTCGTAATTTGCAAAATATCTATTAATTAGAACCCTTGCTATGCACCGTTTTGGTTTTACAGTACAATAGTACTTTCATTATTTGTTTATTAAAAAACATATAAAACGAACTCATTGATAAAAAAAAAAAATATATAGTGTTATGTAATATTTTGTATTCTTTACTACTACACTTTTTAATTTTATTTAAGTTATTATGGTGGTGTATTATTCCCTTCCCTAAATATAAGACTTTTTTTTTTTTTTCTTTTGGAGGCAAAACACCATTTTATGAGGTAATGACACAGGAATTTTTTTATGAGGTAATGACACATGTACTTTGGGGATAATTATGGAGGATTACTTTAGTATATAATATAGATATAGTTGATATAGTTAAAAGGTTGAAATGAAAAAGAATTTAAAAAAAAAAACAAATTCCTATTTAAAAATTAAAAATATAAAAAATATATGTAGTATATGACATCGGGATTTTTTTTTAATTAGAGGGCGACACGTATATAGTTTGGGGAGATAATGATGTTAGCAATTTTCTTTTTTAGTAATAGTTAATAGATTATCTCTCTCCTTTCTTCATATTCACAGCTACAAATTTTTTTTTATTATTTTTTCTTTTCCCTTATGATCATCTCTCTTGTGTCAAGGAATTTTTTTTTTTTATTACGAAGTATTATTTTATCCATCATTATTTTTATACTACCTCTATTAAAAATTATATGCAACTTTGAGACTTGACACGAAAATCAATGCAAAATTTGATAATGGTGATAAATGTATTCTAGAGGTATGTAATTAAGGTGGATAGAGAATGTTTGGATAATTAATCAACAACACACTGCCACCACCAAGACCAGCCAACACTACCCATTGCCAACACCACCCACACCAACTTCACCAACTTCACCAACACCAACTTTACCAACACCACCACCGCCTTCACCAACACCACCGTCGCCTTCACCACGAACACGGCAACACTACCACCACTACTACCAACCCCACGAAACCACCACCACTACCAACTCCACGAAATCCTCCCACAAAACCACCACCACTACTAACCCTTGTGAAACCCAGGCCACTTGCCCCACGAAAACACCACCACTACCAACCCCCACGAAACCCGGGCCACCAGCCCCACGAAACCGCCACCACTACCAACCCCACAAAACCCACCTACACAAAACCCACCAGCCCCACGAAACCCAGGCACCACCTCGACAAAATCACATCCCCGCGAAAAACAAAACCCGGAAAATCCAAACCATCATTTGTCATGAAATCCCCAATAGATCCGACGGAAACGATTGTGAAATTATCACCACCAATTTGATAAACCCATTACGAATTGAATTTCTTGAAAGTTGAAGAAAGAAAAAGAAGATCTCAAATCTATAAAACCCACTACAAATTTTTTGAAAGTTGAAGAGAGAAAATAGATCTAAAAAAGATGAAGAGAGATAATGAGATTGAAAGAGGAGCGAGAAAATATTGGGGAAGATGAAGATGAACATGAATATGAATGAAGATGGTTTTGGGTTTCTTGAATTGAAGATGAAGAGTTGATGAATTAGATTGGGTTGGTTGGGGTGAGAATTGGGTAAGAATTAGTGATTAATTAAATCTGATTATAGTTAGTAAATTGTGTTTTAATTTTTTAAATGAGGGTAAAATTGAAATTTGACTATGTTATTTTTATCAAAAGAGGAAAGAAATCTTTTGACTGTATATAATGTTTAGCTGACAAAAATAGTAAAAAAGTTGCACATAATAATTAATAGATGTAATATTATTTTTTACTTATTTATTAGTATTATTTTCTTAATCCTTATTCCTTACAACTAGACGGGTTCAACGTCCAGTCTTGTGCCAAGGAAATTACTTCTAATCCCATTACATCTTGGCATTTAGGCATCTCAATGACTTGATGAGATCAACATATAGATACCATCGAGTTAATGTAGTTCAATTAATTTAAAAACGGCAAATTCATATTTATTACCGTGAGAGATGAAATATGTTTCTCACGGGGCAAATACGTCTTTTTACGTATTAAATTGAAGGCTATTATTGGAATTTGATGTGTCTGACTCATTTGGTTGATTGACGGAGCTAATACTCTCCAAACGGCCAAAACGAAACCCTTGGAGTGAGAAAATTCTCAAACACCAAGGCTTTGCTGAGGGAGTGCATTTCAAATCGTGAAGTTCTTCGAAGTGTGCTAGTTGGTAAGTGTATGTTAGAGCTTTAATTTTCGTGACTTGCTTGAATTTCAATTTGTTGGTGATGTTTGATTTTCAATTCGAACTTGTTAGATTAATTCCAATTTTCGTATTTGAACTTTGATTTCAAATTGTTGGTGACTTTTGATGTATACTTTAATTCCTTGGTGAGTTGCTGAATTGAGCATTCTTTGAGATGAGTTACTGAAATGAGCTTAGCATTGCAGTAAAATGTATTTAATGTTGCTGTTATTGCATTTAATCACCTTTGTGTCTGTTTTGGAAATTGAAATTCATATTTTTCTGTTAAATTATGTATGTTTGTTGTGTACAATTGAATTCCTACCTGAGAAACTAGTGCTGCATCAAATGGACCATATATTTATGTATGCAGCGTAGCTTAGCTTGTAGGTATTATTAGGATAATTTCCATATGCGCTTAGATTGTAGCAAATTAGTAATGTATTTGAATATTGTCAATATGTAGCTTGTAGCAATTAGGATAATTTCTTTGGTGGTTGGAGGTCGTCTATTGGAGAGAATGGTAAGTGTTATAAATGTTTCGGGGTTTTCTGATGTCCTGCGGGAGAGTTACAATTCCGAGACTGGAACCGGACGCCTGTACCTGCAAAATAACGGAGACTCCTGTGAGCTCCGCCTCCAACGGTCAAGTTAGTACCTGATTAAGGAGTAATTAATGCGGAAATTAAAGTAATAAGGTCTCTCTAGGTGAGAGTGTTTAATGTAGGTAATCTGCTTTGTTAGCGAGATCAGCCGGTTATTAGTGTGTTCCGTAATGTTTTTCGCGTGTCCCCTTAATGAGGATTAAGGGAGGTATTTATAACCTTGGGAAACGTGTCCATCCTAGGTTTAGGTAAACCTAGGGCTGATTGGGCTTCCCTCGGAAGTTGGGCCTGGGTGGCCGGGTTCTCCATTAGGCATGGAGTATGCCACATGTCGTGACATAACAAGTCCAAGGTGGACGAATAAGCGCGTGCCACGTGGCAAGTCCTGACAGTTCCAACTAGGAGACACTTGGCAGGACCTGATTGGTCCACTTGGCGCATTCCGATTGGTGGGAGCAAAATCCCCTAATCAATTGTTATCTAATGCCCCAGTTGAACCTTTAATTGATAACATGAAATGGTGAGATTGTGTAGTTGTAATATGGGGATTTTGTTTATTTTGAACAGGGCGATATCAATGTATTAAATCATACAAAGAGGAAAGTCTTAACCAAGGAAGTCTTTATGGTATGTTAAGTTTGTAAGTTTGTCTGAAATGTAATATTCAGGCAAATGTAATAATGCATTGCTTGGTGGTCTGCAGGAAGATAGTTTAAGCATTGGTGGTATAGTGAAAGCAAAGGGTGAAGTTATAAAGCAACAATGTAATATTTTCCATCGGGTATGTGATTGACTCAGTTGTATTAATAACTAATAAGAGTACCATATTTGTTAATGTCTTTAAAGAAACTAGTGTTCTGTAATGTGATTGCAGCCACCAAATATGAACTGTCGAGTTGAGACATTTTCTAGGATATGCAATACATTTGACGAGAGGAGGACAAGATGGATAAATGGAATGGGCTTAGGTGGGTTGTTGAAAGTCCCAACAGACATTCATTTGCCCCGGCAAATGGGTTATTGGTTAATGAGTCGTATTGATCCGTTGAATAAGTTGCTAGTTGCTCCGGATGGAAAGCAACTTAGGTTATCGGCTAATCAGGTACACTGGGTTCTAGGTATCCCAAATGGTGGGTTAATTGTTCCCACTGGGAAATCCATGTCAGGTGATCTGCAAAAGAAGGTGAATGAAATCCAGCAAAAATATGGCCAATCTTCAAAGACTAGATCGCGCAAGCATGGAGGCCGTGTTTATACTTCTGTTGGAATACCTGTGAATTCCAAGTTGATGGAAAGGTTGGAGGGTGAATGGGATGTAGATGAGGAAGAGGATTTTAAGACTATTTTTCTGTTAATATCATTGGAGATGGTTTTATGTCCTACGCAGTCTCCTAGGCTGGCGTATGATTTATTTCCCGCCCTTACGTGTGCTATGAATGCTGCCTCTTTCAATTTGTGTGAGCTTGTTCTAAATAAGTTGATGGAAAACGTTGCTAGTTTTGTGCGTCGTTTTTATTCGACGGGAGTAGCAGGAGGATTTGGTGGATGTACCATATTTGATGTGGTAGGTTTTGTGCATCTCTATATTACTAATGCCTTTACATTGTAACGCCTTATTACATTGTTCATGCATTTGTTGTTTGTAGGCATTCTATTTGGATAAGCTGGATAGGTTTCCCGTTCAATGGGGTGGATTCCCTAGGATTAAGGTTTGGAACCTAAATCAGATTAGCATAGCCACTAAAGAAGATCGTATTGCTTGTGGTGGTGATTATGGTTTGTTGGGGGTTAGTAATTCTATCAATTTTGTTACATTTTGTCTGTTGCCATTCATATGAATGAGTGTTTATTGGTCGATTAACCCTGTGTTGCTTTTTTGTTTTACATTTTATAGACTATGGATGTCACGTACGATGAGAGCCACCCAAAGGAAGCAAGAGACATTGATGGACCTTGCAGGGTAAATGAATTTTTTCATACTCCTCAACATGGATGTAAAGCGAAGAAGAGGAGGGGTGCACCGCCAAACTCTTTTCCACATCATAGTGAAAGCTCAAACCCTTTTTATCCTGTAAGCACGCGATCTATTTCCGATCAATTGGTTTCTGTACCCTCTGCTGCTACAACTCAAGAGTTTTATGAATTTCTCCCAATGGTGGCAAGACTAAGATGATGGTTGTGTTGTTGATCAGCCCTAGTAACTTGTATTCTATGCATTGTTATTACTTTTATTTTAGCTTGTATATCCTGCTTGTTGTACTATCTATTAGAATTAACTGCTAATAGGGAATAGCTAATAACCATATTGAGTATCGGAATGCATATACTTGAACATCAGTAATTGGGCTGGACTGTGTATTAGAATAAGTGCGTGATTTATAATATATTTGGCCCACCATATAGTCTTATTAGTGTTTGGGCCAACATGTGCATCAGCATTATTAGTTTTCAGTCTTTTCACTAGTTAACATAATCACACTCAAACCATACTTATCAAAATGAGCATGATAAAACTAATTGCTTTAAAAAGATAATCCGATTACAAATATCCAAAATACGATTTAATTGTTCATAAAATTATCAAAAATTTGTAAACTGCATGATTGAACTATTTTCTCATAAGAGTCATAACAGATAATCACATTACATGTCCAAAATACAATTAAATTGATCTCAAAATTACCAAAAATTTACCAAACTGCATGATTAAACTAAAACTAAAGTTCCATTGACAGAGAAAATCAAATAAACATGTCCAAACTACGATTTAATCGTTTATTACAAAAGCAAAACCAATCTGTTCAAAACCAACAAGGATTAAAATGTTTTAAAGCTGAAACTATCAAACCAGACATAAATTTAAATCTAAGCCAACTAAATTGATAGATTAAAACTTTTCATGATATATTAAATCCAAAAGCAGATTTAATTGGCTTAGTTTACATAACCTCCTTCAGTCAAAATTTTCAATGGTAGAAGTTGAGTGACCGTAGTCACCGGTTTCCTGGTTAGAAACCTTCGGGGACCACCAGTCACGGACATGGTACGGAGTGGGTGATACAACCTCTCTGGGGCTGTCTGGAATCCTCTACCTCACCTGCCACTGCCTTGGCCTTGACCTCACTGGTGGTGCCACGGCCGGTGCCGCCACGACTTCTATTTGTGTCGGCACTACTTCCCCACCACCTTGCCCTTTTGCTCCGGCTGCAGATGTGTCTTCTTTGGTAGCATTAGTGCGACCTTGCCCATCACCAACTGGTGCTTTCCCTGCTGCACCACCCCAACCAGAAACCCTCTTAATAGTCGTTGCTTTCGCTACCTTGGTGGGTCTTTTTGTACCCCCCAACCTAAGCGGACTTTCGACCACCATCGTGCTCCGTTGCTTTTGATTCGGTGCCTCAGTGCTCTGTGCCTTTTGACGGCGAATGGTTATAAATGCTTGAAGTAACTTCATTCAATTGGCTCTGCAAGCTTTGGCAAATGTACTGATGGTCGTTCAATTGCTCTCTCAGCACCTTCTCCTTCAACTCAAGGAATTGAAGTTCTGTGTATTTGGGTTGATCATCTGAGGGTTTCATTGGCTGTTTTCCTTTGTTCTGCTTCACCATTTTTGCAATTTTGGAAACTAGAAAATTTTGGAAAAGAGAGTTGCAAAATACAAGAACAATAGGATAGAGAAAGAGAAAGAGAAAGAGAAAGAAATCAGAGAAAGCAAAATGAAGTTTGGAGACAAATACAGAGAGTGGAAGTTGATTAAAGATAGTGGAAGGAGAAGTTATGTGATCAAGGGATGATGTCATACATAACTCCTCAACTTCCCAATTCTTTGCGCCAATCTATGTGACACAATTAGGAAGTTTTTATGATGACGTGGACTCATTTTCAAATAATCTTTTTTTCTTTTTTTTAAAGAGAAAATTAAAATTTTGTTGCATTATGTTTATTTATGTGACACAATTAGCAAGTATAATTTGTCCTTCTTTTTTATTTCGTATAGTATTGCCCGAGTTACCACGATCACAATTCACGAGTCAATTTTTAACTAGATTCAATCGCATCCGTGTTTTGGCACAGAACAAGCAAGATAAGTAACAATGTGCGGTCAAAACGAATAACAACTATCATATGAGTTACCCTTTTTATGGTTCGGAACACTGATGTCGTACTTAAAAATTGGAAGTTCATTTATAAAGAAAGGGTTATAATCGAGATTAAATTAAATTTTTGAGAACGAACTAGTAACAGTAAATCAATAACTTTGTTGATTTCGAAAGGTATCGTAACTCCTGACACGGTATATTTAACTCTTTCAAGTGTAGTTACAAGCTTTTTAATTCGGAATGTTTACTTGATGATGTAAAATGAAGTTTAATTAGTAGTAACAAAATTAATACAATGAAATTTATCTAAGTTCGTTGAGTAAAATGACTAGCAAAATGAGAATTATTTTATTTTATTTTTATTCTTACTTTTATCCAATAGTCTATCCCTTAATTGTCTTTATTAGGGGTGCTTATGGTGAGAGTCGAGTTCGAATTCGGTGTACGGAGAATTGACTCGTTAACATATTGAGTCGCGTTTTATATAGTTGAGTTTTGAACGAGATTTGACCGACTCCAGTTTTGTTACAATCGAGTCGATCTCGATATTTTTTAATTTTGAACCGTCTTCAGTAAAACTCCCTATTTACTATAACATCTCTTCAATCTCTATAATTTTGTCATTTCAAAAGTATATATATGATGATAAGAGTACATACGTAATGTTTATTTATTTCTTAATAATCTTAAAAAAAATTAAGATTAGCATAAAATAAATTATAAACGAAATATTACCTCCGTTCATTATTATTTGCAACGATTAGACATTTTTTCTTCTCTACTTTATGTCAAATCATTCCAAATAATATGTAACGGAGGTAGTACGAAGAATCTTGTAAGTAAATTTGAAGGGGAGTAAATTTGAAGGGGGTAGTCTTCCACGTATTGCGTGCGCCTCTAAACTAGCAGTCTTAATATGGGTTACACAATTTTTGATGTAAATTTTTTACTCTTAACCACTACACTATGTTAAATATGTTGTTGGTGTATGTGCCATCATCAATGATAATTTTCTATTTATTGTTTTATTTAAGTTATTGCCCATACAATCAATTATAGTGTGCACTGGCATCTACTTTGTATTTTCATATTTTAAAAATCAATTTCGTACTTTATGGATTTAAAATGAAAGAATTCCCGGTGACACTTGTTAAGGGTACATGCTCACACTTGTAGTGGCTTCACGACTGGTCTCGTACTTTCCCTTTTTTTTGACACAGATCTAGAACTATTTTAGCGTTGTTCAAAACTTGTAACACTTGTAATCTTATTGTTACACCCGTGGTTTTGACTTTTCCCATTGATACACTCATAAATTTTTGCGTTCCCATCGGTACACGGTTTGGTCTTTTTCCCAATCGTGATTCACATTGTTAAAAAGTATTTCATTAAGTAAAAATAATTAAGGAAAGTCCATAATACCCCCTTTAAACATTGAATCAATCGATTTGCGTGTCGAAAATTGTTCGGTTAAAATTTTGGGAGCGATATTATATTTTAAGGAACCAAATTAATCTTCGAATTTGGAAAGAAAAAAAAAAACGCAAATGCCTCGTATGCGTGTCAAAAAATGTCTTGATTTGCGTGCATTTACTTAAGTGTGATAATTATTATTCGAATAAGGTTTTAGAGGTCATTTTGACCCTTTATGAATCTAACCAAACTCAAAATTGTCAAAAAAGTAACGAAAATATCTCATTTTTGCATATCAAAGTATTTCTTACACCGTATTTTTGTTAAGTTGAGCTTACCGAGACATTTCCGTTAAATTTGTTATTTGGTCTCGAACAAGGTCAATATGCTTCGAAAATCGATATTTTCAAAAAATTTCAATACGATCCCATTCGATTTAAAGTTTGAATCCGATCCAAATTAATAATTCAGCTTACTTTGGATTTGATTTCGATTTTTATCCGAATAATGGACACCCCTAGATTCGACTAAAAAAATTACGATAAACTAACTTTCTTTTCCGGGATTATTCTTATTTGAGTTCGAAGTCCAACAATACTACGAAACACATAAAATCATCAAACTCAACCAAAACACATCCCTTTTTTGGGAAACGATTTGTTTTTTTTCTTTCCCTATACTCACATGCAAATAACTACAACATCGTTTTGATTGGTACATTTATGGGGCTACTTCAATTTTTTTTCCTTAAATAACTTTGTGGGTCCCACTCATTACTTCTATTCTCTGTCTTCTTCATTTTCTATCTTCTGCAATTAATCCTCTGTAATTCTCCTATCTCACACTCCAAAAAATGGCAAGTGGAAGCCAAATCACTGCAACATCAACACCTTTCAATCCATCGTCTTGGAAGCCTGATCCAACCAAAAATTCAGCCGAGAACCTTGCTAGCTTCGACGCCTACTTCGTCTTTTTGATGGCTGATATCAACTCCTACCGTGTTAACCTTGAACCGAATGCGAAGTCGAATGTAGTCCTCTCTGATAGCGAAGAAGAAGTCGATCAGATGAATGGTGAAGAAGAAGAAGACGACGATGATGAAGCTGACAAAGACAACGGTGATGATGATAGCCAGGAGGGTAGGGATCAAGACAACCAAGGAGATAACCAGGAGGAGGAAGGTAAAGATAACCAGGGAGAGTGAGGATACGAGAACGAGGGCAGTGGGAATGAATGGAACTACGCTGATGACAGCTGGTATGAGTCTGACTTTGAAGTGGACTCTGGTGACTACGATACTGGCAGCGCTAACAGCATCGGCAACCAGTATTGGGGCGGCCGTTACCTCTAGTCTCCAGATCACTCAGAAGGTTAGGGTTTTCTGTTATTGATAAATGTTGTCTACTGGTTTTTTTCATTATTTGGGTTTCTGTGAAGTCTTATGAGGGGTTGTAGTTGGTTAGTTGAACTTAGATTAGTGTAAATTAGTTGTTTAAATTTTTTGTTCTCTAATAATGTCCTGATCCTATTGAATTGTGGTTCAAAATTTGTTGTCTGGTGTTGTAACTGAATTCAACTACTTTATATAAATTAACTAGGGTCATGTAGAAGTTAAGCACCTTTGTAGTTGTTTACCTCTTTTGGATGTTGATATTAATTTATCTAGGGTATGCTATTCTTAGTGTTTGTAGGTTTCCATTTATGTATTTCTCCCCCCCCCCCCAAAAAAAAGGGTTTCCATTTATGTATGATAGGGAGAGTGGAATGTTTAATTGTGGTTGATTTCTGTCTCATTGTATATCATTGAAGGAATAAATAGAGTATTGTGTGGCTTTTGTCTGAATTAGTTTATTGCCATTCATAGTAGAACTGGTGTACCATATGTGTTTTTCATTAGTTTGTGTGCTATATAGTCAGATTGGGTTATGAAGTGAAGTGAACTAGCATTGTTTGATAAACCCTATAAGTCCTAAAATCTTTATTAACCCTTGATTCTGCTACCACAATCACACCTAAATGGATTATATGGATGAGTGGAATGGAATGGATTTGCTAATCAGTGATTTTGAATTGCAATCTATTAACCTCTATCTAGATTACATGAAACATAATTTCCTTGAATAGGATCAAGTACCAAAAACTATTCCAAACAACTGACCATCTTCTCAACTTAATCCAAACTACTTGTTCACTTAGAATAAACAAATGCATAAGGGGTAGTTGGTCATACTAGTTTAATCAAGAAATTTGGCCTACTACACAGGTTAAATTATATATGTTATGCCCTCATTATTTGGGTTTGTGTGCAGCCCTAGATTGGTTAGTTGTTTTGTGATTAGTGTAGATAAGTTGTTTATTTCTATCTCATCTTCAACTAACCCAGTGTAATTCAGTTGGAAGGGACTGATGTGCTTCAAAATTAGAAACTATTTGGAAGGGACTGATTCTAAATGATGTTGGGTTTTATTTTTTTATTTTTTTTTTTGTGTTTTTTGGTTTGGGTGATTAGTTGGTATGATCAGGATCTAGGGACACACATACTGTAATGGAATACTGTTTCCTTCACAATACCCCTTGACTTTATCAATATATATCTAGTAGATCAATATCTGTGTAACACCTAAAAACATTGACACAACATTCTAGATTGTATCTTAACCTTTACTGAAGAAATTCCTTGTCAAAAACGCATTTAACTCTAGCTATATACACTTTGACTGCCATGCAACTGATTTAGGATTCAATGCCACACTGATGATGCTTATTCAATTCCTATATATACACTCAGGCCTCTATATATGCAGCTGACACCAAGAAAGTAGACAATCTGGATAGGGAAGCCAAATAAGTTCTTTACCCCCTTTTGAAGGTTTTATTGGAAGTTTATGGATGCAAATATGCAGATTATTTCTTGTGTATATGCTCCACTTATGTAAGTAGGTATAAACAATCATGCAAGTCTTTTGTAGTAGTTTCAATATTTTGTGGATAAGTGTTTTATGCTCTAAGGGGGCTTAACTTTGGAAGGTCTATAATTATTTAACCTATCTTTTGATGCCTTTTAAGGCTTAATCTAATCTTTTGATGCCTTTTAGGGTTATATCTAATCTTTTGATCCCTTTTAGGGCTTAATCTAATCATATTTACCAAAATCTTTGAAAATAACTAATAAAACAATAATAGATACTCAAAATATGTAGATAAACATGATAAGCCAGACATAAGTAGCACTTGTAGGAATACATCCCACAAATTAGTACATAGCTGCCCAAGACACCACTTGAGCTTAGTTAATACATAGAATAGAGTTTAATAGGTCCATAGCAAAACATAGTCATCATAGAAAGTAAACAACTAACAGTAGCAGCTTAACAACATAATATAATTAAACATAGTCATCATAGAAATTCCTGGTACATAGGTTTAGTTGTGTGACACAGCAACCCTTGTAGGCTTCAAGCTTCATCTCCAGTTTAGGCCACTCCAGCTGACATATCTCCAGCTCCTTTCCCTTCCCTAGAAGGTCCTTCACCCCCAGCTGCCTTATCAGCTCCTTGTGCAGGGGTTTCCTTTGCAGCCTGTGAAATTATGCCAATAAATATGATAAATAGAGTGAACTTGGGATATGCATAAAAAAAGATTAACATTGTATGTGATTTTACCTTTAGGGTTCCTAGCATCCTAAGAGGGCTCTCAGCATCACCACACACAAGCATCTCATCAGATTTAACCTTGCTCTGGTCCCATATTATAGAAAACCCACCACTCAGCCCTACACTCTCATCAAATGTCCAATTTATATCACCCTCAATTGCATTCACAACCTCATCAAACGAATTCTTACCCACCCTAGGCTCAGAAATGATGACAATCATTGGTTTGTGGACTTCCTGAATCTTAAGGACATGTTGCTTAAAGCTAGGCCTAGTAATGCCACGTGCATTCCACAGCACAACAGATGAAGCTAACTCAAAAGCCTTTTCACTACTAACATAACTTGTTCAATGCACACATCCATAAACCTAAGGAATGGATCGACCTTGTACTTTCCCACACAAGCAACAACATCAATATAACTAACTTTAGCATGCAGATAAAAGATTTGCAAACCATCAGAGTAACAAGCAAGTTCAGTTCTTGTTTTTTGAATCTTAAGTGGGTAAATAGGGCCCTCGATGTCTAATTCAGGGATTGGATCAACTATTTTAGCCAGAAAATAGGGCACTATCTCACTAATCTTAGAGGTGTCATAAATGACTTCAGGATTATCAGCACTCAATTCCTTAAACACATCAACTAAGTTAATCATACCAACAACATCAACTAAATTAGGGAGATTGGCTGGAACAAATTCACCTGAGGGGCCAACCATGACCATTCCATCTAATTCTTAACTCAGGGGACTATCTGGACTACGAATGATGTCCCTGATAGTCCTGTCGCTGACAATATCCTTCGTTCCGTTTGCCTTCTTCCCAGTAAAGTACATGAAACTATTGAAATCCATTTATGGAGTTCCAGACTTCCTAGTTTGCCGAAAGTTTGTTTTGGCTTTGGTTGCAACAGGATAGCAACCAGTTGGGTAAGTTGGGTTTTTAGGGTCAAAGTTTGGGTTTGCCATGGTAATAACACTTTGATTTTACTTTGGTTGAGTACTCTAGGTTATTATGTGTGTGGGAAATATTTGTTAAGAGTCTTATATAGAGATATCCATTTAATTAACAGGTGTCCATCATCTATCTTTTGAAACAGACACGTGCCGATTATCAAACTCAAATGAATAAAAATTTCATGTCCATTGCATTCAAAGAATCAAATTAGCGCAAAGACATTACTCAAATTGAAAAATAAAAAGAAATTTTGGCAGAGCAAGTACTACTTCAAGTCCTACTGACTTTGCAGATCAGCCTATTGTCAAGAATTGCAGTAAAAGTGTTGATTTCATATTCCCCAAAACCCATTTTACATTACGAGTTGTCAAGTCACAGCTTTTGTAAAATGAAGAAGAGCTTTAGAGGACTGTAATCTGTAAGAGATTATAGGTACTACGTAGCGGAAAAACATGAATCATATTCATACAGTACCTAATCCCAAGATCTAATTCATAACACATAAAGAACATATAATCGTACCTTTGAAGCGTGATTCCACGTGCGATCGAGCAAGAACATTGGGAGATAAAGAACCTCAAGCGTGATTCCTCTACTTGGTCCACGGGCACAGATTAAGACCTCCACTAATGCTAGTTAGTTGCAATTGAACCCTTCAATTGACCTTCTATGGAGAAGTGCGAGCAACGAACCACCATGAACCACCACGAACCACCACACGCGCCACCAAGGTGGCCGGCCGTACGGACGAGGGGATGAGAGAGAAAGCTGTGAGTTAGAGAGAGGAATTAGGGTCTTTGGGATTGGTTGCCTTGATGTCAAAATACACTGTGTGTGAATTATGACTGCTTGCATGCAACCGTAGGCATGGATCTTATTTATAGATCTCATCTCTAAATAAGAGCCCATGTCAAAAGCCCAAAACCTAATTCTAATCTAACTATGCTAGCCCAATCCATTTTATGATTAGTTAAATGCTTATGAGGCCCATTAATAGGCCTCTAACTTGCTTAACCCAATACCCTTGTGTGTGACCTCATAGGATCCATTCTAGTGGGCTTTGGAATATTTGACTAGTCCAAAGATCATCTCTCATAGTCTAGCAACAGATGATGACGCCCCAAGAGAACGAACTTATTATCTCCATAATAGTGATCCTTGATATATCTAGTAATTGCACTTATCGAAGACACAACTCCTTCAATCTCCCACTTGTCTGAGACAAGTGCGCAATATTCAAATTCTTTAAGTCAATGTGTGTCGATTTGATAATATGATTGCATCTCATGTCGTGATCATATTAGTCTACAAATCTTTTCTTGAAATACTGAGTTAGATTCACACAACAAATGATTACTATGTAATGCATTTGAGCACGACAATGCATTTTTTGAATTCTACCTCTTCAAGGGGACAAGACACATTCCTATTTAATAGGTAGACTCAATCCAATCTTGTGGAAACCAAATCTCCCACTCAACTTTTGAAATAATCGGGAAACATCCTTTATAATCTCCAGTTACGGGCAGACGTTTGAATGTACCACAGTCAAATCAGCCATTGAATGGAATCAGTGTTCCACTCATGTCAAAGGAATCCACTAATATATCTGGAAGCTCTATACTTGAACTTCAAAGTAGGTCTATAGTTCGATCATGCATCATTCATGCATATCCATGTGATTGACCGAGCTTCACTATGCTCCTATAGCCCATGAAACTGCGCTATCCAATCAATCTTA